ACTCCCGCGCCGTCCGCGCAGCGCGAAGGTGCCGGTCCGCGTTCGCCGCCGAGGAGGCGTGCCTGTGAGCGTGCCGCGCGAGGGACGCGCCGCGGCGAGCGTGTGAGGTGTGTGTGTGGTGAGAAGGCCCGTCACAGAGCGGAGACGTGACCGCTGAGCGTTGCGGCTGGTGACCACCGAGCGCGGCATCACTTCCTGACCTTCGTCTGATTGTAAGTGTGGTATTAATGGAATCCTGATAGGAAGACTGGTAGATGTAGTAGTCTGTCAGGATTTAGAGGTGTTCGTGTTGTGAGTCTTATTATGCACAGCCTTTCATCGGAGTGCTCATTTTAAAGTTCCCGACTTGTTTGAGCAGCATCATTGATGGGACGATTAAAGCAACATTGTTGTGTCACCGCAAAGTTAAATAATTTGAACAGAGAGCCGGTGTCATTTCAGGGCGGACCAGTTTTCCGTGTGCTAAAACGGGCAGTGGGCATGCAACATTGCCATGTGGCCGTTTCACGCTCGAGTGCCTGGCGGGACGCAACCATATGCCCGAGCGAAGCCAACTGCCCCTCGATTCCAGAAGGCCAGGGACGGCCCGGCTGCCCTAGCCACGCTTCAGTCCGATGTAGGTCACCAAACAGGTGGGCTAGTCATCCCATGATCAACTATCTACTCGCCAGTTGTGACGAACGAAGTCGACCGAGTTCGCGCCGCTTCCAATAGATGTCAGCGCGATCGGGGCCGGTCGGGCCGGCGCGGCGGCCTAGCCGTGGGCGCTCGCGGCAACGAGCCGGCACCCGGGACATGACGGCCGGCCTGGGCCCGACCCCGGCCGCCAGCCGACTTTTCACCGGCGCAGCGCGCGCCGCTCTCACGCACGGGCCGGGCGAAAGTGGCGCCGACTCTCCGGCGGATGCTCCGACTCTCCGAGCCGGCGCCCCGAGCCGGCGCCGAGGCGCGAACGCGCGCCAGCGGCTGGTGGCAGCAGTGGAGGTCGGACGGGCCAACGCTGGTGGCAGCAGTAGAGGTCGGAGGCAGCAGTGGAAGTTGGAGGCAGCAGTGGAGGTCGGACGGGCCAACGCTGGTGGCAGCAGTAGAGGTCGGAGGCAGCAGTGGAAGTTGGAGGCAGCAGTGGAGGTCGGACGGGCCAACGCTGGTGGCAGCAGTGGAAGTCGGACGGGCCAACGCTGGTGGCAGCAGTGGAGGTCGGACGGGCCAACGCTGGTGGCAGCAGTGGAGGTCGGACGGGCCAACGCTGGTGGCAGCAGTGGAGGTCGGACGGGCCAACGCTGGTGGCAGCAGTGGAGGTCGGACGGACCAACGATCTGCCGGCCGGGATGCGAAGAGAGTGAGGTAGAGATACAGGGAGAGGAGGCGGGGACAGGCGTCTAAGTGGTGGAGATACAGGGGGGAAGAGACGGAGACAAGCGTCACATCGGACATGCACGATAGTATTCTTGGCAACAGTTGCATGCCTTGCTGCTAGATTAGGCAGCATTTTGTGCACCGTTAGACAGCTGTATTTTACAGCTCAAACTGGTTTCACTTAAGGACAGAAGCGCCTCGGCATTTATGGCTACATGAAGTGGAAGAAGTCGCCCGCCCGGCAGTGTATTTGGAGGCATTTTCCTATTTTCCTACGCTGGGCTCGGCCAGTCAACAATTATCCAGCGATCATACATGGAAACAAGAATCACTGCTTCTATGGTCAGTCTGCGACCCGGAAAGCTACGCAAAGCTATTAAGCACGCAATGCGGCCACAAGCTCCCAAATCGTTCACCAGCCCGCTGCCCTGTCATCCTGGATCTAGCGCGGCGCCTCGCCGCGATACACTGGGCCGACTCAGAGGCCAAAGAAGCACCTGGCGCAGTCGGTACACGGCGCCGCAAGAAACCGCGACTGGAAAACACTTTTGTGTCGGCCGACAAAAACGAGGGCACGTCAGAAGGCGTTCTTCGCACGTCGCACGCCCGCACGGCGCACCGTCCAAAATGGAAATGTGTCGGCTAAAAACGCGGCGCCGCCGCCCGCGCAGGTCGGCGCGAGGTCGGGCTGCGCCGCTGCCGACTGACAGCGATAGCGTTTTTGTGGCCCGCTGGCCGCCACCTGTCGGCTGGCTCATAAGCGGCCCCCGCTGACCTACCGGTGCGTGTTGCGCCACCAGACGTGCGCTGGAATCCCGGGCGGCGGCCGATATCTCGCCGCGCGGTCATCGTGCGTCATGTTAGGCCACCGGTGTCGCAAGGTGGCCGGGCGCTCGCTGCCCGATCGCGGCTCATTCATCGCCTCATTTTTACTCGCTTGTTTGCGCTTTTTCCGAGCACTTTTTCCTTGTTTTTCCTCTCCCAGAAAAACACGGCGTGAAAAACGGAACGGGCGTCCTGCCGATTGCGCCTCCCGCGCCACTGTCGCCGCAGCCGTCGTCTCGTCGCGACCCATCGTCGCGCGGGGGACCGGCGGCGGCAGCGACGGGAGCGGCGGCGGCCAGACAATGGCCCAGCGCGGCTGGCGCCCCCCGGGAGCCGATGCCCGGCGCGCTCCGGCCCTCAATCAGATCGGCCGCCGTCGGCGCCGACGCTCTCTGACCTGTGACGTCACACCGACGACTTGGTCGCGCCGCGCTCGTCGGCGGCGCGCCAGTCGGGCCGAGTGAGTGTGCCGCGCTGTGGACGCCGGGCCGCGCTGTGCAGAGACACGAGGCGGCTGCGGCGGCTGGTGGCACGCGCCGAGACGCCGGCTCAAACGTTAGTGGACGGGAACACCCCTCACGGGCAGGGCGCGGACGGGGTGGTCCGGCGCTCTTCGGCGGAGCTGTTCATCGCTCAGCAATATTTTGGTTTTGGCGGCTCATCAGCGAGCAGCGACTAAATAGTGGCCGTTCACACCCGTGTATATTTGCCTAGCATTACCAGCGTGGCCGTGAGTGGTAGCAGGGAAACAGCGGACGCGATCAGGGGGCCTGAGCAGGTGTGGATAGCGCTGAGCAAGCTACACAAACATCATTTGCATTGATGCCAGTCTTAATAAGCGAGATTTTTATAAACGCGGATGCATTAGCTCTTGGCCTGGCTGATCACATGCCAGGAATGCCAAACAACGCGATAGGTTTGCTGTTGGTGTCTTTTCTAGCCCTGCGGGCGGATAAATTAGCATTATTCAAATTACTACGTTGGGACATTTCCAACGGCCCTCGTGATCGAGTGTGGAAGTGGATAGAGATGGTCGGCTGACCGAATAAATAGGCATTTCTCGTGACACCAGTCCACGTGACCTCGAGACGAAACATCCCATCACCATGCGAATGGTGCCGCGTGATTTACAATCCCGTCAGAGAGTTCGGCGTTAGTCATGCTATCCGACGAAACGCACCTGACCTGATGGCATGTATAGGAGCTGATTTCTGCTTTTGAGTCGGCACACCAAAGCAGAGCATGAATTTGACGGCCGGGCTGAGACCGGCGCCAGTTAACAGCGAAGTGAGCAGTGCTGTTGAAATTCGGCCACTATATCATATTTCCGTCCGGTTCCAGTCACGTGATGATAGAAATGAAGACCTATCTGCCCCGCGTCTGCAGATTTTGGAAAGACGAAGCGTGCTCATTCATACCTTGGTCCTTCTACTCAGGTCATAAATGGCGTAGTATAACTTACGGGGCAAAAGTGGGTAGAAAGAAACTAGCTTGCCAGCTGTACGGTGCATGAGCTACTAGGAGGTTTATTAAGGTTACCCGAAATTGTAATAATAGACATGTTATGACTGGATCGATGGCAGCTTTAGAGCAAAACACACAATGAACAGAACAGCATAACCAAAGTGCCCGCAATGATATCAATGATATTCCAGCGAAGAAGTAAAAAGTGCTTGTAAAGTGACACCGAAGCATGTATTCCTTTTACACATCAAGGAGAATTAACATCATACTATAGGTATTTACTAGTATTTATAGCTTGGTGAATACAGTGTCGAATACGTAATCTAGCGAACAGCATTCGCCAGGACACTCTTGTAAGGGTGCGCTCGATATCGGTCACATACATGTGGCAGATATTTAATGCATACGACAATCTTGCCGGTCAAAATCACAATTATCACACCGTCAGCAGCAAATCTGAGCTGCTTGATAGTCAACTTTCCACAACCGACCAACATGATTGCGTGTGGACGTCAGGTCATGCATTATCCATTGGTTGGGGGCGATGGATTCGGCCTGTGACACCGCGTTTTGTAATATCCACCATGTAAGTAATGACAACTGGTGTTCGAACGTCATGATTACGGAATTAAGGAAGGCTAGCGTACTGCGGTAATGACGAACACGGACGTGGACGACATGTGACAGAACTGATGTCCCGCGTGCGTTGCCATGTCGCTTAGCGCCCGGCACATGTCGAACGCTCCATGGCGGTCACGGAGCCAGTAACCATCACGTGTGTAAACGGCTTAAACTTGGCGCTGAATGCCGTCGGTTTCCATTACCAGTGGCGTGCCAAGAACATTATCCGCAAACAGCGCAGCACGAGTGCGCAAACACCGATAATGCAATATAGAAGCGCAGCTATGTCCGACGCTAATAACGCCTATGCGCTTTTGTGAGGCAACGCCGAATGGAGCAGCAATGTAGAAGCGCAGCTATGTCCGAAGCTAATAATGTCTTTGCGCTTTTGTGGACAGCGCAGCGCAGCGCAGCGCAGACAGGGCGAAACTAGATGCGTTCGGCGCCATGAACGCATGATCCCTTGTCGCAGACAATGTCAGCAGACGTTCCGATGACGCATCGCGCCTCTCCTGCTGCAGAAAATGCCGGCTGGCGTTGTTCCGTGACCTGTCACATCTCTCCTGTTGCAGGCAATGTCAGCTGACGCCGGTCGGTGACGCGTGTCCGTGATGTCCGTGATTCCGAGCGGCCGCCGGAGCCGGTGATGGCGCGCAGGACAGTGCCGCGGCCGCTGCTGGCGCCGTCGCTGGCGCCGCTGCTGTCGGTGCTGCTGGGGCCACTGCTGGCGGTGCTGCTAGCAGGCCGGGCGGCCGCCGAGCCGGGCGTCTGCCCCGCCGTCTGCTCCTGTGAGGACGGCGCCGTCGTCTGCTCCAACGCCGGTCTGAGCAGGCTCCCCGACCGGCTGAACGGCACCGGTGTCACCACCCTGTGAGTACACCCGGCGTGGGGCCGGCTGAGTGTGGGTGTGGGAGGGGGGCGTCAGAGGGCCTCGGCGAGAGGGGGTGGGGGGCGTCAGAGAGTCCGGGTGGAGCCGGGCGGTGTGCCGAGGCGGTGTCCCGGTGATGGGGTGTATGTTTGTTGGGGGCTTAGCCGACGTTTCAGCCAGATTTCGCTGTAAGCCAGGGGCTTGCAGACAGCTGCAAATATAGTAGCGATTTAATGCGACATGGGCCCAGCCAGGTCTGACACCAGAACATTCTGGCGACTGTGCTTGTTTAAAAAAACAAGATATTTCATTTATATTTTGTTTCCAGCTGAATAATGAAAAACTGTATGTGTTATCCAATTATGTTAAGTCAAATTGCGTGATACCTAGCACACACACTAATCATTTGGAGCGGCAAGTGTGCATTAATACTTGAGCCAATATTGTGAAGATTAACGATGATAATATTGCAACATTAACAAGACTTCGTGCTTGCTTGGCCCCTGCGGACGGGGCAGAGCTGGCGTGGTGATAGGCGCGCATGATGACGAACAGGTCTGGTTTCGACAGCAACAGCAGGCCGACCGATGCTCAGTCTGTGTGGGGAGGTCCCGCCGGGAAAATAGCGTCAGCGCGAAATTCGGCGCGGTGGGAGCTTTCAGTGGCTGACCATGATGACTCGTTGAACTATGGCAGTGAAGCGCGCTGGGCATGAATGGAGTGCATGTGGGGCGAGGCATAGATCAAACAATCCGGAGCTTTCATATTGCGCAGTTAATCCTTCATGTGGTTGCACCTCGATTGCTTTGTGCCCGAATGTTTGAATCAGGAGCAAAGATGTCCAATCATGGCCGATCGAAATGCTCGCAGTTTGCAGTTGGTGCAGATATTGACTTGTTTTGGCACACATCATCCTGTTTCATCCCACTGATCCCTTCTAATTCAAACCGATTTAAACTTAATTAAACTGTCTTTAACTAATTAACACTGCTTTGACGCTAATTGATTTATGTCAAAACACCAAAATGCCTCACCGATGCCTGAAAACCAAAGCTGTTTTTTAATCCCATCCCGGCCACATTTTTGGGTGCTCTGCACAGCAGGTGCTTAACAGCGTCAAATTATGCGACATTCATCTACACGACCTCCGTCATAAAACCCTACATGCCAAATGGGTGAGCATGCATCAATGCATATTTTGAGGTCAAAATTGTGGCGACCCAGTCGAAATGAATGAAAGCAGTGGAAGGACACACTTGAAAGTAATCACTTGGAATACATGCCATCTTTATAGTGAATCCTATGTCAGCAATAACCTACGTCAACAATAAAGATGGACAGACCTACGTCAACAATAACCTACGTTAACAATAAAGGTGGACAGACCTACGTCAACAATAACCTACGTTAACAATAAAGGTGGACAGACCTCCGTCAACAATAACCTACGTTAACAATAAAGGTGGACAGAGCATCGGTATCGGGGGGCCACGGCGAGGAACCGAACGCTTTAAATCACCTCCTGCAGGTGCATTCAAGCGGCCTGTTTGAATGGGTTTGAGATCTTTTCACCAGGTGACCTATATATAAAGTCATCATACTTGCCTGGTTGTTTTAATCGATGTTGCTTTTTAAATTATGACACCAACCGGAGCGTGCTCGTTGAAAAGGATCTTTTTCTGCGCAATAACGCCTCCCGCAAACCACCCGAAAATATATTGTGCCGTAGATGCGGATCAGAGTGCATTTTGAGCAGAACCCTTGCGCACATCATTAACTACCAGCAAGTTGACCTAGGATTAGTAAGGCGAATTAGGACGACGCTTACGAAAGCATTTGAACACCCACGTCAGTTGCAGATTGCATTTGGATGATGACTTGAGGTGCCATTGCCGGGCATATGCGGAAACCAGATGAACCAGCATAGCATCACACCCAAATTGAAAAACCCGCTCCTCTCCACCAAATTGCTCAAATGTGTGTACAACATTTGCGCAATCAGCATCTGCTGATTGCGCAAAAACCCATTTGCATAAATTGCCAAACCCGACCTTGAGCGCTATGAGTTATCAGGTCGTGTGTACACGGTGAGACCCATTGGAAGCTCCGATAGCGTATCATTTAATTAAACCGCCGTCGACAAATCATGCGACCGGTCTTCATTAGGCTGGCCTGATTTCGTTACGCTCCGCGACAGGGCGCATAATTAGCGGCCACGACCACCGGCCGCCGCGCAGAGCGGTGTGTCAACCGCCGGCCGGCCAGCCTCGCGTAGCAACCGTCCCCTGCCGGCCGCCCTCGTCGTGCGCCCTTGGGCTGCCCGCGGCGGGCGTCGCAGACCGCGGCGTCTTCCTCGCGCAGCGACCGTCCCCCGCCGGCCGCCCTCGTCGTGCGCCCTTGGGCTGCTCGCGGTGGGCGTCGCAGACCGCGGCGCCTTCCTCGCGCAGCGACCGTGCCCTGCCGGCCGCCCTCGTCGTGCGCCCTTGGGCTGCCCGCGACGGGCGTCGCAGACCGCGGCGTCTTCCTCGCGCAGCGACCGTCCCCCGCCGGCCGCCCTTGTCGTGCGCCCTTGGGCTGCCCGCGGCGGGCGTCGCGGACCCTCGGCGTCTTCCTCGCGCCCACATTATGGCTGCGGATATGCGTCACACAGACGGCGATGAGGCACCGGAGAGCGCCGGCGAGAGCGGCGGCCACCGGGCCGGCAATGACTCGCGGTCGGCTGAGTGAATGAGCGGAGCGGGCCGGCCCGATAAAGGCGAGACGGAGCCGGCGCGGCCCGGCCGCGGCCGTGAGCGAGTGAGACGGACGGCGGCAGAGTGGCGCCGCCGGCTGAGCATGAGGAGATGGAGAGAGGGAGGAGAGAGGAGAAGAGAGGAGAGAGAGGGAGAGAGAGAGGAGAGAGAGAGAGAAGAGAGAGAGAGAGAGAGGAAAGAGAGAGAGAGAGAGAGAGAGAGAGAGAGAGAGAGGAGAGGAGAGGGGGAGAATAGGGGGAGGGGGGGAGAAGCGCGAGAAAGAGGCCCTAGAGGAACGTGAAAATAAGGAGGTCGAGAGATAGGAGCATGAATTATTCCGAGCATACTGAATAAAAGGAATACAAGACTTGACATGGGTTCTTAAGACATGGGTTCTTAAGACGTGGGTTCTTAAGACATGGGTTCTTAAGAGCGTCTACATCCATGCGGTACCGCGGTGACTGAATGGATGGAATGGACATGGCGCTTGTTATTATTTCTTGACTTTTATGGCAGTAGTTTTTGGTTTGAAATTCCGCTAAGCTCTGCGGAAATAACCAAAACGGATGTGTCATGATGACAGAATCATGGCTTTACGTTAGTGGATTTGGGTCAATTTGTAAATAGCGTTAGTCACCATATGCCTGCCCAGCCAGAATCGATAGGTTATACTTATCCCACAAAACGACTACATGGCCCTAGACAAGGCCTACGGCCCAATTCTACGTCATCTCAAAAACGACACAGAAGAAGCAATCGAACTGTCCAATAAACCATCTCGGGAAAGGACCAAAACCACCACCGTAAACAGCGACTCCAACTAAACCACAAAGCACGGGATTGCCTCGCAGCGGAAATCCCTGAGCGCCCAGCTCGGTCCCACGAGGCAGGATGACGGTGGGAACAGCTGCCCACGCTGCTCAGCGGCTCTCCCGCCGGTCCAGACAAGCACGGTCGGTCCCGGCACGCCCCGTGTACGAACGAGCGCCGGTGGCGGCCGGGCCATACCTGGGTCAACTCTACGATGTCGATGGGCCGCTTTGGGTTGCGCCGCGTGCCGTGTTTGGAGTTCGCCTCCCCGGCGCTGGCCGTCCATCAGCGCCCGCGACCGCGCGCGGGGCTCGGCTGTCGCCTATCTGGCGGCGGTGCTGTTCTTGATGAGGGATGCGCAGGGCTGCGGGGTGAGCGTTTTTTTGCGGTCGCAGCCTGGAAAATAGGCGTCGCTGGCCGTTGAGACAGTTTCCTGTCTTTGGACAGCAGACTGGAAAATTTGGAAGGCGGCTGCACGATTGGTCGTGAATGGCTTGTACGCAGTCGACAAACTTTAATGACAGAAGAAAGACGTGGGCGTTAGCAGGGACATGCATGTGCAGGACAGCAAGTAATTGCGCTGTGTAATGTTGAAAAAGATGCATTGCAGCATGTGGGGTTTAATCTATGCATTAACCTGCCATGCGTGAAGTGAACGATGCGATTGAGCCTGCCCACAATATTGCATCGCTGCTGCGAAGTGAAGAGCGCAGACAGTTTTTTTCTCTGTTGGTAGAAGTGAACCACTTGCAAAGACCGCCGCACAGTGTCACACATCTGAGTAAAGACCCCGGTGTCGTCCAACGACGCTTTTTACCGAACACTGGGTACGCAAACAGAGATTGGAGAGTCTTGAGGCACCAACTGAGCGGCATGGTTGCGCACCCTCAACAGTGATCAAGACGGCCTCAGCCCGTCCTAGCTAACCCCGACCAGGGGATGCCCCGACCGATGCAGTGCAGACTAGCAAACCCAGCGCGGAGAGGGCCCCAGCATAGCCAGAGCTCGTGCTGGGCCGGTCTCAGCAGCTAAACGAACTTCATCGGCACCCACACAGCTGAGCAAACGGCGTGCCGCACTTCCATGCTTCCCTACTTCCCTTTCCCGGGACTTTCCCCTGAGTGGTTTGGGCGGCGCCCAATTGCAAGCCTCTGTCTTATGCGCTATGATCTAGGACCACCCAGGACTTACCGTTTACCGGCTGTAACAGAAGCCTGACACGTGTCTGAGGCAGAGGTGAAGGCCCACATTCAGTTGGAAGCGCTCGAGTGGTCCGCCCCCTGCTTCCCACGCGTGGCTTAGACCTATCGTGTGCAACACGAGGTGAGCTAAAATAACCCAGGCAGAGGCGGGACGATTCCTGTCAGCGTGCTGTCCAGCTGTCCCGCGGCACATCGTGAGCGAATTCATCACTGAATAACCCATTCCCGGACGCATCGAGTTCCACCAGGCTCCATGAA